CAAGATACATCCCACTACCACAATTGATAGTGACCAATATTTTCTATGATTTGACCTATTATAACATATGATAATGGATAGTTAAACATTTTATTGCAATATAAGATATAACTACATGTCTACATCATTGCACAATGTATATACTGTATATATCATCGTGTATATTATCCATGTTAGACAAGGCAAAGCCCCACATAATTAATAGTGACCTCGTCTCACGGTCACTCCTAAAAGAAAAAAGATGACTGGTATTCACATCCTAAGAGTACATGAGATTGGTAAAATGATATCAAATGCGAAGCAAAAGGTAAAGTACTTTATTTAAAGAAGGGTTTTATTTTTTGCCTTTTAGGGATAAGATAAGAAGAATTTTACTCCCTCCGTCCTTTAATTATATGCCTATTTTTTTATTTATTAAATTATTACTCACATAACAGAGAGAAATGGACATATAATTAAGGGGTGGAGCGAGTACTAAATATCTTGTATTTATTTACTTGGTTCGGATTAACATATTAGATACTTTGAGAGTGAGGGTGATGGGGGGGTAATAGATTGTCAATTCTCTATCCACAAAGTAGTCTTAGTTGCGATTGAACCCCAACCTCGAGACTAATAAAACACAATTCATACCACTAAACAAAAAGCTTGTTTGGTGGCATATGTTTAGCTTGTTTAACATAGGCAATGGGAAATCCTAGTTATTTTGGTTTACATGAAATTTGCAAAATGGGGGAATTGCAACTTTCTAGGAATTTTGAGTTCCTAAATATCATGGAAGATAATTACACAACATCTCCTAGGTCATTCACGATTCACATGAAATGCAAATTCCATCATGTCAGCCCGACAATTTTAGCAAACTCCTAAGAAATACATGAAGGAAATTATTTCCTGTAAAGTGTAAATTACCATGAGAATTTAATTCCCTATTCAATGCAACCAAACAAACACTAAACTTAGCTTGATATCTTAATGAAAATTAGAAAGGTAGGTCATATAATGTCATGGTGTGGTTGCATTTCATAGCTAAGGGTTCTTGTTGATGTACAGAGCTATTTAATAGTCCGTACAATGCCTACTACATCAGTGCGTGGTATATATATGCAAACTAATCTAGGCTCGAGGGTGTATATGAATAAAGTGGTCAGTATGAACCTAGAATCATTAAAAAGAAAAAAAATGGTATATTATACATTAAACCACGCCCATCATTCCATCAACTAACCTTGTATTCTTATTGGGTTTCTAAATTTCACCTTCTACAATTTAAGGTATACGTTTAGAAGTCAAATTTGATAAAGGCTACACATACAATTGTTGTATGTGGTCCCTACTTACAACCTTAAACAAACTTTATACTTATTAGTGTGACCCAAACAACCATAATAATAATAATTAAGGCCAACCGCACACAAAACGCTCTGTATAATTTAAAATTAGTGTTACAAGGGCTATTCGAAGAGTTTTATAGAGGTTACTTTGTTAATTTACAAGTAACCACAAACTGTGGCCAACCGCACACAAAACACTCTGTATAATTTAAATTGATAAACATACTTGAAGCAATAATAATGCCTCAGTTTAAGTGCTTTATTACCTTAAATTTTCTTCGTATTTAAGATGTTTTTCAAACAATTTGAATCATTTAACATGCGACAAAAACAAATAAGTTCCATTTCTTAAAAATATATGTATATATATTTTATCATCATACAAACACACCCATTAGCTGTTATCATTGTTTCTTTAGGTGGGACAGGTAGCAACTACAATGTGATGTTCATACTTTATCATCTACATACTATTTTATAGTAATATTCCATATATATCCATAAATCTGATCATATTATATACTTCTAATATTGTATAATTGTGTCATAGATTGTGAAGAACGTCGGTGAAGCACCATTGCTAGTGCATATCTACACACAAAATGGGCCCAAAAAAACTTCTAAATTATCATCATCAACAACCACCAATATGAAATTTGTAATAGAGAAAACGACGTCGTTTGATAGTTGGACATTGATCAAACATAGGTGGGAGAACAGTTGTTATAGTACTATTCCTAATGGTGTTATCTTGGTTGAAGAACTTGGGTTTATAACTACCAAACAAGAATATCAAGACAAATTTTGGTGCTTGGATTCTTCTTCAACTAGTAATAGTGATAATATTTATAAGGATAATTTTATTGAGGGATCAATTATGGTATCTTCTTCTTCTGCAACAAGATTGTGGGGTGTACTTGTTCAAGGCAAAGGGGTCAATTTACATTCTTTTTATCTTTGGAAGACTTGTCAAGTGAAATGTTGTTTTGGATCTACTACACACTTTTGTTTAGCTAAGGTTGATAATAATTGTTTTGATATGAGTTATGATTTGTATCTTAATCAATTTTGGTTACAAAGATAACCAAGTAAGTTAAACTGGTCATTCTAGTATTACAGAGCACGTATTGTGTTAGTCGTTTAATGTTGATGTTTTTAATCATAATTTGGCTTTACTTGTGATTTTCTCAATCAATTAAGAAATAATCTCATGTTAGTCATTATTAATTCGATTCTGGTTGCTACTTTCAACCATGTTCTTTCAGTGTTCAAAGGCCCCTCTACTATTTGTGATCGGTTAGATTTGTTGTTTTCCCGTGTTTGGTGGAGCACCGGTAAGGATTATAAGGGTTTGGCCTTGGCGCCTTCTACTACAATGCATCTCCCCAAAGGGCTAGGAGGTTTGGGCATCCGCTATCTTCGGTCCTTTAACCTGGCTTTGTTGGCCAAGCAAGTGTGGCGGCTGAGACGTAACCTGCAGCTCTTGGCCTCTCGTGTCCTTAAGGCTAAGTATCCTTCCCTTTTCTCTATCACTCCTTCTGTCACTTTTTTAGGCCCTCTTGCGGAAGTCGTGGGTTAGTTGAGGGGGGCTTAGTTTTATCCAATGGTAGTGCTTGGAAGTTTGATTCGGGAACTAAGGTTAGTATCTTAAATGATTACTGGGTGCCTAATGTTACGGTTGCTTTTAAGGATTCTATTCCAGAAGAAGAGCATCCTTCTCTGGTGTCAAAGTTGATGTTTCCATATTCTTGCGCTTAGAATGTGTCCTTCGCTCGGCATCTTTTCCCTAATTATGTGGCTTTGCCGATTCTTGGGTTAGAACGGCCGTTACAAATGATTAATGACTTTATTTACTGGAAATTCACCCGGGATGGATCCTACTCTACTAAATCAACCTACTCCTGTTTACTCTCTCAGAATTTATCCTTGCCTATTTCCGTGCTTCCTTTTACATGGTGGATGTGCTTTTGGGGATTGCTTATGCTTCCAAAATAGAAAATTTTGGCTTGGAATGTTTTACATAATGCTCTTCTTACGGCGGCTGTACTTGTACTCAAGGGCCTTCTGATTGATTCAAGTTGCATTTTTTGTCGGGCCTCTACTAAGTCTGTAGGCCACTTATTCCGGGATTGTCCTTTCTCTCGTCGCCTTTGGGATGCTGGACACTCCTCTTCCTTTCCATGGTTGGTTCTAGAAGTTAATTTCAAGTTATGCTACATACTTTCAAGAATTGGTCTAGTCTAGATCGCTTTTTTAGAACTTGTTAGGCCATCTGGTTAACCCGGAATAATGTTAGGTTTCGATCGGCAGTTTATTCTCCGCAGTCTGTTTTGGAATTGATCTCTGACTGGTGTGACAAAAATAAAAAGCTAAGGCTCGTGAATTCATAGATTATCACGATACTCCTCCTCCTGGGTTTTCTACCCCTCCTTTGAGTCTGGCTCTTCGGGGTGATCTACACATTGCCTGTGATGTCTTTATGCTGTTTGATGGTGCTTGGGAACATGGGAATCATAATGCTAGTACAGGGTGGTGTTTTCAGGAATTTTCTTCTTGAGGTGGAGCCCGGGCTTGTATGGCCACTTCAACACTTCAGTCTGAATTGTTAGCTTGTCTTTTTGGCCTTAGTGCTCATCAACGGGGCTTTACTCAGCTTAGCCTGCATGCACACTGGTTGTTTGGCGATCTCTTAGTTGTTATCGGATATTAGAACTAGAGATATTTCGGTGATCTGGATCTTACAAGAAATCCGGGATTTGGTGTCTTCTTTTGTTACTTGTCGTATTCAGAAGGTTTCACGATCTTCAGTTGTGGATGCTCACTCTCTTGCCACTGTTGCTAGACGTAGGGATTTGCTTTATTATGTTTTTTAATTTCTATGTTTTTTCTTTGTCAAAAAAATAAATAAATAAATAAATAATCTCAAGGAAGAAGATAATACTATCATAGTATCTTAGACTACTATCAGCAGTGAGGAAAAAAAAAACCTCTCAATCTCTCTCTACCCACTTTCTCACTCCTCCCATACAATTTCTCTCATCAAATGTTTTTTTCACTACATCAATGAGGAGAAAAAAAAACCTCTCATCACTTTTTCCTCCACTATTTACTATACCCCGCCATAATACACATCATCTTTTTATTTTATCTTTATTTTGAAATAATGTTTATACTACATATTTAATTTTCCAATACAATTAAAATATGTGAAAATAATTTATTTTTTAATTACATTTAAAAATAATTTAATAAAAATGTATAATTTAATAACAATTTATAAGTTTTATATTTACTTTTCAATTACGTTTAAAAATAATATAATAAAAATTTATAATTTTTATATTTATTTTTCAATTACGTTTCAATTATAACTTAATAAGATTGTTATTTATTTGTCAATTACGTTTTAATTATAATTAATAATTTTTTTTTATTTTTCAATTACGTTTTATTTATAATTTAACATTTGAATTAGTAGCACATTTTTGTAATGAACACATTAAATAGTCACATGGGAACTTCAATAACGGTAATACAAACACATGGGATGTTAAATAACGGTACAAGTACGAACTAGATAAAAGTGGTTCTACTAAAATAAAATACAAACACGAGTATTAAAACATAAATAACGATACGGTTACAAATAACAAACTAAAAAATTATTTATTCAACCGCATTATGACGAAAGTTCTGCCATATGTGCTCCACTAAATCTTGTTTCAGAGATGAATGAATTTCTCTATCACGAAGGGAAATCCTTCTCTCCAAATACGTGTTGAAATCAATGTTGGGTGGTCGCCCGACGTTGAATTCAAATGGCTCGTTGTTAAACACCGTGGCACTTGTGCTCGGGTCTGCCCGCCTCACCGTACGTTGTGGTCGATCTTCTTCGTAGTATCGTCTCAAAACATCTGCACGTGCGTAGTTGTGTCGTTCATCCTCGACGATCATGTTGTGCATTATTATACAGGCTTTCATAATATCACAGAGAATATCTTCGTCGTATGCAAGTGCTGGTTGTCGTAGTATAGCGAACCTAGCTTGTAAAACTCCGAAAGCCCGTTCGACGTCTTTCCGAACTGCTGCTTGTTGATCAGCAAACAACTTGTCTTTTCTAACATGAGGATGTGTTATACCCTGTATAAAAGTTGGCCATCTCGGGGTAAATCCCATCGGCCAAGTAGTAGCCCAACTCATATTGATGTCCATTAACCGTAAAATTTATGGGTGGTGCATGACCTTGTAAAACATCATCAAATACCGGTGAACGGTAAAGGACATTCAAATCGTTACATGACCCAGGCATTCCAAAGAACGCATGCCAAATCCATAGATCCTGATCAGCAACAGCTTCAAGAATGAGAGTTGCACTCTTGCTACGACCAGCATATTGTGCCTTCCAAGCAGTAGGACAATTCTTCCACTCCCAATGCATGCAGTCTATACTACCAATCATCCCTGGAAAACCACGCAGATCATTTTGATGAAGGATTCTCCTTAAATCTTCATCTGTAGGTTTTCGTAGATATTCACTTTCAAATTGTGAAATAACCCCTTGACAGAAATGTTGCAATGCCTGCCTAGAGGTTGTTTGGCCGAGACGTAAATATTCATCCACAGCGTCTGCGGCTACGCCATACGCTAACATTCTTATTGCAGCGGTGCATTTCTGCAACGGTGATAAACCAAGCTTCCCAGCTGCATTTCGACGTTGCTGGAAGAATTGATCCCCCTCAACCACTTTGCTCATAATGCGGCAGAACAATGACCGTTGCATACGGAATCTACGTCGGAATTGGTTGTCGTTATACACTGGATTATTCGCGAAATAATCGTTGTATAGTTGCACATGCCCTTTTTCTCTTTCCCTATCCCTTTTGGGCTCCGTTGATAGTTCAGTTTCATTATTTAGTGGAGGTTCTTGTGGTTGGTCTGGAGGAAGTAATCTATGAGGTAGGTGATTTGCTACATACTCATCAACTAAGCAATCAAATTCATGATTTTTGGAGAAATCATCAGAAGAGGAGCTTGAGGTGGAAGAAATGAAAGACATTTTTATTTTGGTTAGGTAGTTGGTGTGTTTGGGATTGTTTCCGTTTATAATAACACAGGTATATATAGAAAATGTGAAAGTCATTATTGGATGGTAGTGGTAAGTTTGCATGTGAGTTAAAGTGGAATTGAAATTGCATGTGACTCGAGGTGACAATTCAATGCATTATTTTAGCATGTGATTGTGCAGTGTTATTGATGTTTGAGCAGAGGTGACAATTCAGTGCATTACTTTAGCATGTGATTGTGCAGTGTTATTGATGTTTGAGCAGAGGTGACATGTGACGCGTGTCAGATTGTATCTTTATCAGATATCAGCTTTATCAATTTCAAATTACTAAGAAAACATGTGAATTAACTGAATATTAATAATAAATTTAACATTACATAAACATAAATTTAACATAAACTAAATAAACACTAGTACATTAAATTAACTGAATAAAACATAAAGTTAACATTAACTAAATAAAACATAAGCCAAATCTCCAAGTCACACGTGCCTTTTACCATATAGCATTGCACGTAATTCCTCCTTGTAGGCCTCTTCATCGGGAGTTAGATCAGTACCCTTTGAAAGTAGATCTTGCAGCATTTCATAGTTCAGCCTTCTCTCTTGTATGTCAACTTGTTTTTGTTGAATTTCGACTTGTTTTTGTTTCCTCCTCTCCCTTTCCATGTCAAAATCCAACTTCTTCAACCGTATTTGTGCCTCTGTTTCCCTACAGGCATTATTCTGCTTCATTTTCTCACCAATGGTTGAAGAATCAGAAGCCAGTTCTTTTCCCTTATTACGCTTGGCCTTTGCCTTTTTAACACCATCGGGTCGAGGAAGACCTCCAGAACAGAAACCCGTGGATGGTGTATCACCTTCCTCTACGGTTCTACATCGCTTATCACTGCCACTACTATCATCTTCGACGGCATCACCTACAGCTAATCTTTCCTCTCTTGACAACGCCCACCTAAGTTTTGTCCTCCACTTTGGGTCATTTTTAACCATTTCCCAACCATGGTGACAATTAAAATTATGTTGAGTAGGCTTGGAGGAAGCATAGAATAACTTACTGGCGTTATTAATTCGATCTGCTTCGTTGTAGCCACTTCCTGTAACCCTTCCTGCTTCGTCATAGCAGCTACTCCATTGTATTAAATCAGCTGCCATCCTTCTCCAACGACTTTCCAAACTCCTCAAAGGTCTTGGTGGTAGAATGTGAGGTTTCTCAGCCTGCGCTTCATCATATGCCGCTGAAATTTTTCTCCAAAGCACAGATGCTTTTTGGTTTGTACCAACAATTGCATCTTCACTGAATTGCAGATACAAACCAATAAGAGTTTCATCCTCCGCAACAGACCACATTCGACTCCCTTTTGTAAGTGGTTGGTTTTGATTGACAGACACTCTTGGAGGAGGTGGAGGGTATTGTGGAGTATCTGGAACACTTTCTTCCATTTCATCTTCATATTGAGAATTGCTCCCTTGATAAACAGGAGGTGAATGTGGTGGTGGAAATTGAGGAGGTGTTTGTTGTGGTGGAAATTGAGGAGGTGTTTGTTGCGGTGGATATTGAGTAGCTATTCGTTGAAGGAAGGTTTGAAATCGAGGGTTAGTGACAAAATCATCACCCAAATCAGAAAAATAATTAGAAAAATCTGGTTTGTTAGGATCCATTAGCAAAATAATAATAATAATAATAATAATAATAATAATAATAATAATGATAATAATAATAATAATAATGATAATAATAATAATAATAATAACAATAATAATAATAATAATAATAATAATAATAATAATACTACTTTTTTTTGACAATATAATAATACGATTTTTTTCAAGGATTAATAAATTTAACAGAAATAATAATAAAGAAATTAATAATAATAATAATAATAATAATAATAATAATAATTATAAGAATACCAATAAAACTACTACTTTTTTTAAATTAACACTACTACTACTACTACTAGTAATAATAATAATAATTATAATAATAATAAAAATAATAATAATAATAATAATAATAATAATACTAAATAATAACTGAGGTTTTTTTTTTTTTACGAATAATAATAATAATAAAAATGATGAAAATAACTCAAAGAAATTGGGAAAAGAAGGAAATTTGTAGTATTTATAGGTTTTTTGAAAGTATATCAAAATATATCAAAATGCATGTCTATTTATAGAGAAAAAAAAAATCTATCCGTTGGTGAATTTTGTTTTTTTTTTTTTTTATAATTACAACGGTTATATTTACCTTACAAAAATATAACCGTTGTAATAAAAGCAAAAAAATCTGATTGGTTGGAAGGATAAAGCCTGACGCGTGTCGCATCCCCATTGGCTGGGTCTGACGCGCGTCAGGCCAGCTGCCCCCTATTTTTTTTCCCTTTTTGCCCCTCAAAACGGCGTCGTTTCGCCCTTCTTTAAGGCAAAACGACGTCGTTTTGCAAGCCAGAAGGGAAAAAAAAAGGGAAAGACGCGTGTACGAGTGGGGCCCACTTGTTACTGTTCACGAGTATTTCCCCTCAACTCTTGTGCGTTTTCCATAGCTCTCAACGGTGAGGGTTTTTTCCCTCACTAACGTAATGCTCGGGTATTTTTTTTACACCCTTATTTTTACTCGTGAGGGCTTTTCTCCTCACTGCTGGGAGTGCTCTTAGGGGGAAAGTCTTCCTTCTTTGTATACAAGCACATTCTTGGATGCTTACTCAATTGTATTTGTATATACTACGTACATTTCATCTTACATTGTATTTTTGTAATGTTATATAAGTATTTTTCTTATTAATTAAGTCATAGAGTATATTGTATAGGTTGGGTGTGAGGTGCTTTCCCATTAATAAATTTTTTATTCAATGACTAATTCAGAATCATGGTGGTTATTAATCTATTGTCGTAATTACAATGTATATTAATTAAGTGATTGAGTACTGTTGCCGACCATAATACCAAAATGGGAAGCCTAGAAGAATCAATCTCTTATTAAGTTATTAGCACTATTCTTGGGCCAATTTTGTACCCAATAAAGAATTTTACTTAACTGACAAATAACGGGTCAACTAGAGTCTAGAGATCATGTTTCAAAGAAAAAAAAAAAAAAAAAAGTCTAGAGATCACATTGTACACTAATATCTAATTATCTATTCACACCATTCATTTATTTTATTTTATTTAAATTAATTTTACTCCCTCTTTACTCCTTTCCCTTCCCCCTCTCAATTGAGTTATGTTTGGGGTACTAAAATGGCTCCTATTTTGGATCTTTCATTGTATATGGGTCTTACTAGTTCAAAAAAGCTTTTTTTGCGCTTAAAGTCCAAAGTTAGGGCATGTTCTGATTAACTGAGCTGAACTGAACTTATTAGAGCTGAACTGAACTAAACTAAACTTATTGGGGAGCTGAACTGAAGTGAACTGAATATTTTATGAAAGAAGGAAATTAAGAACTGAACTGAACTTATTGAAGCTGAACTGAACTGAAAATAAGCTGAAGAGAACAGGCCTTTACTCACGCTCAGCTCAAATGTCCAAGGCTTTACACTTTTTCAAGGTACTCACAAATGTATTCCTAGCATTTATTGTACTTTAATTTCACTATCTTTCAATACTTTCTCTAGTATTTTCTTCACCTCCTAACTTAGGTATTGGAGGAGGTAACTCAGACACACCCCCGAAATTAGGTAACTCAATTATGGTTGAACCAAGCTCATCTTTAGTGGCCTACTATTAAAGGTCTAATAAGTCTAGACCCTTTTTTTTTTACACGAAACAAGTTGTATGTCTTTTTGTCTAAAGATACAATAGTGCACGGGTCATAAGACTAGCTAGCTAGCTTAGTTATGGATTTTAAATGGTCGCTAATTAGTTGGAGATTGGTTTAGGTGGATTGTTAGTTATTTCAATTCCATGCACAAATAATCTATACTAGCGCCATTTAATATCTAGAATCTTTATAGTTTATACTTCTTCAAATTAGTTGATGGTTGAAAGTTAACACCAAATCAAAGTTAATGTTATGATACATTTAAACGTATATTATTGTGTGATTAAATTGATTAATTAATGACATGATAGTTCTCTTTTGTATTTATGTGACAAGTTGAGACCTTTAAACCAAACTTGGAGATGAATTGAAAGAAGTAATCTAGTTTGGTCGATTATCACTCCTTAGTTTCTAGTTAAGATATAGTTTTAGAACTTTATTTCCTTGATGCCCATAGTTTGATGGTTGTTTTGGATCGATTCCCTTTATCTACTCCTTCGATGTGTTAGCTCTTCTATCTAGTGTTGTTTGCATTTATTAATCAACTAATAAATTAACTTATTTTCAAATAAATCAAGCATTAATTTAACTTTATAGTCATATTAGCAACTTCTAAACCTCAAACTAGCTCTTATCTTCGATTTAATTTGCTCTCAATTTATTGCTTTTGGTGTCTAATAGTTAGATTTTTTGAAGAAAAAGAAAAAACCCTCTTGTCAAATACGAAGTAATAAGATAGAAAAAGAAAATAACTTAGGAATTCTAACCATAATACAACCTTTACTACTCCGCATCACAAAAAAAAAAAAATTGTAACGTTTTATTATTCTTTTATTATTCATAAATTTTTAGTTTATATTTATGTAAAATAAATTATATAATGATATGAAAACTTTGAATTAAGTTTTCTAGCTATATATGATCGTTTTGTAATGTTTACTAATTTTAAGTTGAAATAATAATGTTCTAACTTGTGCTAGATATAGCATATATAAAACTTCATAAATTTCAATCATGATAGTGTCATGTCCTAATTGCCTACTCAACCTATATACCTATTTTCTATCAATTTGATGATCTCATATTCTCATTTCTAAGTGAAATAGTGGACGTATATAATTTCAAAATTAAAATAAACAGGGAGTTAGGATATAGCCTTCATTTACGTCGATTAATAATTAAAATAATTCAAGATGTGACAAACTTTTTAGACATCATCGAAATAGTTTAACCGTTTATAATAATCAATTTCTACACTTATTAATTTTCTTATTTTTATTTTTATTTTTTCAAATGAAGAGCATAGTAAGCAAATTAATTTACGTTGCTCTCCAAATCAAGAAAAACAAAAAAGACTAACTGTAGGACAATTGACAAATATACCATCACGTTTAGATAATTAGTCATTGGATGCCTAATTGATTGGGGTCCATCAAATGGATATTAAAATCCTAATCAATGAATAATAATATTACAATCAATAAGATTGTACTAATGACCATATGAGGTTGTGAGAAGTATAGAGTCACCTGAATTAGGTATGGGAGCATGACCCTTTATTGGTGTCTTATAATAGTACAAACCCTTAAACTACATGTCTACATGTATTAATTTATTTTTAAATTTATTTATATTTTTAATGTATGTAGAAATAGACTCACTCGAGGAATTTGAAAGGGAAATCCGTCAAATAAGCCACATGGGATTTGATCCCTAAACCACAAGGATATAAGGCGGCAATCAATATCACTTTAGAGGAGAGAGAGAGAGAGATTAGGAAATGGTATTTGAAACTTGATCCTTAGAACACAGGAATTTGGTATAGGAAGCGATATTAGACACTAATCCACGCCCATTAGGACAACTTAACTAAGCTTTAATAGTATCTAGATTAGAAACTATTTCACTATCCCAACCTTTTTTTTAGGTGGATTGTTAAACACCGCCATAAAAAATAATCACCAGCGTCAATCATGCCCTTACTACCTTATAACTCCTTATCCTTCCCGGCAATGCACCCCCTTTCGACCGACAACGACCACCACCACCCTGACCGGCGATCCACCACGTGCACCTCAATGACAATCCACCACCTTCCCTTGTCGGCGGAAGGTGGTGTTTTTTTTTTTTTTTTTTAATTTTCAGCAACCGGAGCCCATTACCGTGCACGATTTTCGATTTTGGGCTCCAATTGGTGCGATTCCTGGAAATTTTAAAAAAAACCACCTTCCTGCACAGTAAGGGAAGGTGGTGGGTCGTCATTGACAGGGATGTGGTCGTCGCCAGTCAAGGCGTGGTGGTGGATGTTGCTAGTCACGGTGGTGGTGGTTGTCATCGGTAATTTGGATGGTGGTGGTGATCGTCGCTAGTCAGCTAGATGGTACGGTGGTCGTCACCGATTAGGAAGATGTGTCAAAGTTTTAGTAATTAGTGGCAAAAGGAAAGATAGAAGTGATTGAAGTACTAAGGGTATGGTTGTCTATTCACAATTTCACACTGCATGTTAACGATTTTGATCATTTTTTATGGTGGTATATAACACTATATCTTTTAAGCGTTTTTTCTTTTAAAAAAAAATAAAAAAAAAAATAACGGTATTTAGCAATTCACTTATTTTGTATGGTAAGGAGATGAGAATCCACCTTAAACCCGAAATTACTCAGATTACAAAACCAAAAAGTGTCCTACAAAATAACATGCTCAAAACTTGACTACCCACGTCCTGTATAATCATTGATAGCAGCCAGCCATACACGTCTTTATCATAACAAAGTCCTTTTAATAATTCCCCCCATTACATATATATCCATCCATACACACCCCTCCAATTTCCTGTCTCCTTCTCAATCTCAAGAATCTCAATTATATTCCCCCCAAAATAATTATAATATTGTCATTAACAATATATATTTCTTAATGCCTTAATTAAAAACTAGGAATATATATATATGTTTCCATATTACATTATTACACACTATATTAATGTCAATAATCTATGTAGTAGAAGAAGAGGCTTCAACTTCTTCAACATCAAACTCAACTCCAAAATGTGGTGGTATGAAAGTTCAACTGGTTTCGAAATCAAAAAGTGAGAGACTCCTAGAGAAGTACTTCGACGCATTCGAGTTCGAGTTCGATTACGAGCAGAGTGGTATATGGTCTCCTCCTATAAGGCGAACCGCGTACGTCGGTTCGCCAGGAAGGATGTTTACCGAGCAAGAAATGATGGATAGACTTAAAAGTGTTTTGGAAGGTAGAAATGGTAGTTGTAGAAGAAGTGGTTCTGCTTGTTTAGATGTTTGGGGTTGTATTTCTTCTTTGTTTACAACATTCCAAAAAAGGGTTAAGAGAAGAAAAGAAATTAACTGGGTAAAACTGATCTCGTGATATGTAACACCTATAGTAATTTGATTTTGTCTTGAAATGAATTTGATTGGACACACAGATTTGGAGTATGTTCTAGTCATTTTTTTTTTATTTTTTTAAAAAAGGTTTAAACTAAAGGCTAAAAAGTAAAATTATGTGTATACATTGAGTGAATTTGGGATTGGTCAAGTCGAAGTTGGTCTACTTTGTAATAATTTCAGTAGTTCAAATGAAAGTAAAACTATTTTTATAATGAGGTTAATTAAGTTCTCGAAATTTCAAAAAAAAGTAATTAATTATAATTGTAAACCAATGCCCTAAGTTGATTCAATTGATTGACTTGCCAATCATCACCCTATGTATCCTAATATGATTTTAATAACTTTTTTCCTTTAAGTGTTGTAAAAAAAAAAGTAATATTGTAATCATTATAATTTTTTTAATCAAACAAATTAAAGCCATGTAAACCTTATTTTATTTAACAACTCTCTAAAAGCAACAAGATTCAAAATCATTTGAATTAGACCATAATTTCCAAAACAAAGTGTATTAACTTTAATCTAAATGGCGTAGCCCAGAAATAAATATCATGTACTACACATGATATAATCGTTTTAGCCTAGAACCCTAGACCAAATGAAACCATCCATCAATCACCAAAGTACAAACCAAACCAAATTTCCGTGATAGTTAAGTGAACTCGATATGAACAACCGGAGATTATACTACTCTGAGCCTATGAGATACAAGTTCAATAATCATCGTTAAAGTAAGGACAATAATAATAACTACTCTGTATATATTAAAGATATATGTTTGTAATTTAATAGCACGTGTCATCTTTTGGTGATTAGTAATTTTTTTTTTTAAAATGTATATTAATTATGATTTATTCTTTTAATTAAGGAGGTAACATAAATCTTTTTATATTTTGGGTGAAAGAGAAGGTTCAAACACCCTAAAGTACACACACAAAGAAAACCAAAGTATAGAAAATGAGCAAGAAAGCAACAAAACAAACTCAAACACACACGGTCACACCCTTGCCATAAAGGTTTTCCACTAGAAGAATACTACTATTAGGAACTAATCTCGGACAAGCCACACTCTAAAATCCTCTAACAAGATAGCATGAAGGTTCTTGAGACTGCCTCAGAAAGAACCAAACTCTTATTTGTAAATACCCGACCCCTAATTAGCCAACCAATAAGCAACACGGTTAAGGTAAACATTAAATTAATTGCTAATATCCTTCGAATATGTAAAGAACGCTTAATGTATCTAAGGGTAAATTGATTCAATAATCCATTAACGACAAGGTCATTGTATAATTACTAATTATATCTCAGGGCTACAGTGTGTAATTTCAAAAAAGAGAGACACAAGTGCTAACGTGGCTTGAAAATCGCAATATTAGAGGGTTATTACGTAAAATTTCTCAAACTTTCAATGAATAAATTATTAAATTCAAATATGGACTTCCACATAAGTAAATGAATTTTGAGAGTAGGTGGTAACTCACTAACTCAGTTAGTTATAATTTTCCTCCCGATTTCAGAGGTTCTTGTGGACCCGGGGTGTATTGCAAAAGTATTGGGGTCCAATTGTCGAAACTCGAAACCTCAAGTAGTCCAACCCAGTAGACAGCAGTCTTATCGCGGCGATCCAGCGCGATAATTTAGCGTCCGAAAGTAGTAACGCCGGTTATCTTCACCATTATTCAAAGTCCTAACTTTCCAATTTCACCCTTTTACGTTCACATACTTTTTACAATTTTGAAACACCCACATTTTTTTTGCTTTACTTTACTACACCCAGAAAATTAAAAAGGGGATTTCAAATTTTGAACTTCAAATTCTCCCAATTTTCTCCCATTAAACAATCGAATTGAGCATAAAAGGGAAAAAATCTAATTGGGTATTTGCAGAAATGTCGGGTTACAGAGCAGAAGATGACTATGATTACCTCTTTAAGGTTGTTTTGATTGGAGATTCTGGTGTTGGGAAGTCCAATTTGCTTTCAAGATTTACTAGGAATGAGTTTAGTCTCGAGTCTAAATCCACCATTGGTGTTGAGTTCGCTACTCGGAGCTTGAATGTTGATAGCAAGGTTATTAAAGCTCAGATTTGGGATACTGCTGGACAAGAAAGGTGACATTTCTTATGTAATTTGGTAATTTTTGTTCTAAATTTATGTTAATTTTTCTGGGTTTTGCTTCAATTTGAAGATCTTGTCATAGATTTTTCTTAGAATTGTGATTTTGAGTGTAGTTTGTTATCTGCTTAAATTTTGCCACAATTTATGTAGTTTAATGGATTTTTTGATACTGGGTATTGTTAATTTTGTTAATGATTTCATGTTTTTGTTGTGGGTAATTTACTATGGATTGATAGATCTGATTTGATCTGAGTAGTATGTTGGATAGTAGTATTGGATTGAAGTTTGCTTTGGAGGAAGTCTGACTTCCTGGGATGGAATTATGTTAACATTTTGATATATGTGATGATACTGCATTTGATTTCATCATAGGTTTTTGGAGTTGCGAAATTGTAACCTTGCTGCTGTTTGTTTGGAGATTTTTAGTTCTATGGTAGCTGATATTGTGTGAGATCTATATTTCAGTATTAGTTTTTATTATGAAATGGCTGAAGAGAATGCTGATTCCTCTTTTGTGTTTCGCAGTTTTTTACTAGTGTCCAATGTTTGTTTGTGTTTAGACTTGGTCACTTTGCAAAAACTTAGTTATTTAATTTTCTCCAAAATTAAGTGTTAAAGTGTTTATGATCATGTTGGAGTGTATCCGACATTAGACTTTGTGGTTCACAAATTTGAATTACATAGCTGTTGTTATCATCATCTTAAACCGGAGTTGAAAATTGGTAAAATCAGATACGCTCAAAAGCTCTTATGATTTTAATCAAAATACTCATTCATTCAATCCCGAATGTTTAGATGAAGTTCAAAAGCTAGTGTCGTATAAACATTTTCAAAATATAGAGATTAGACGCTTATTGATGCCCTTTGTCTGTATTCAATATTCTTGATTTGTTTATCTAGTTTCTTGTTCTAAGAACCCCATATGTGGTTATTTTAGTGAAGTTGGAGTGCTTGAATATAGTTCATAGTAGTCAAAATTTCTCCTAAGGGAAAGTTTTGGTAATTTGTTGGGTAGCATATCTTTCGTATCTGCACTAATGAGTCTTTTCATGGTCTTTAACTGTAAGAACTCTGCATGCAAGATTTAGATGTCTTGTATATGGTTGTGGAGTGACTTGTATACAAAGTAGATGCTGTTACTTTGTTCTGATTTAGAATAACGGTAGCTTCTGCAAGTAGATTAATTATAAAATTATTGGAAGTTTAATTGACCTTTTGTAATACTCCAAGGTCCGCTGTCTGAATATGCTTGTTTTTGTATAATCCTAGTTGTAAATTTTGCTAATGATCAATGCTGCACTATTATCCTCTGTTGCCTGACTTGCCTCTAGGCCTCTTTTGCTTGAAATATGTGGTGTTATTATAATGATCTTTCTTGAATTGAATTTTAAAGGATCTACAAATTCTTAACATTGAGAACAATTGTTGATATAGATGAAATAATTTTGGTCAGCTAGTTGGAAGATTGAGTGGGTTACCTCTTGTTTTATAATATTTCATGTATGTGTTCTAGTTGGAGATTTGTTTGATGGAAAAAGGGGGGGGGGGGAGGAGGCCTACCCGATTGAGATCCTTAAGGGGAGAAGTGGAGGACGTCTTACCAGTCTTTACTACAGCAACAAAAAAGATATGTGGTGGATAACATGAATCACTATAAGGATTCGTTCGTGAAAAATGGAACAAAGAAGGAAAAGTGATAAAGGGAGAGTGGATGAAAAACAAGAAAAAACACAACAAGCAAAAAAAAGAGCAATGTAAAGTGAAAACCCAAAAAGCTATTAACGTAAAATTTGAGAAAGTTTTCTAAAAGATGGTTAAGGGAATAGAGGAATTAAAGCACTTAGAGTTTGAGTACACCTTAACAATGGAAAGTAAGTACGTAGTATATATATTTGATGTCATGAGATATTGACGGCGTGTATTTTCTGATTTTCTCCCTCCACTATGCCCTATCAAACACCATATTTCCTTATCCCCAATGTTCAAAGTTTTCTTAGATCTTCTCCTACCCCTTACAATCTTATCACTTTGCCACTCTTCAAGCATTCTTACAATCTTACCACAGCGACTTAATCTCCATCTCACATAACCAAACCACACTGGGTGGTTCTTCCTATTCTCAATAGATGTAGCGCCCCCCCCCCCCCCTTTTTTTTATCCCTCCTAATTACCTTCATCTTGTTCGAGCTTAGTTCATGAATATGTTCATTTATATTTTAGGTTAATTATTGAGCTGTATTTGTCTCTTAAAAAGTGAATTTATTTTTTTTATACAGTATATACCTTTTTATGCATCAATTTAATTTAAACCAAAGTTGTTTTTTTTTTTCTCTCTAAAAAGGTTTTTCTTATCTCTTTGTTGAAAATTTATGACCAACTTTCCATTTGGACATAAAAGCTTTAATTTCCTATAAAAGGTCAAAGATTTTCTTAAAGGAAAAATTGCCCGAAATAATCCAACCTTTGCCTCATCTGCCCAAAATAATCCCACCTTTAGATTATTTTTTAATAATCCGACCTTTATAGCTCTTCCGTTACCAATGGTCCCAAATGACTTGAAACCGGCTAAACAGGTTACCATTTGTGACTTCTGATTAAGTTGCACACGTGTCACCACGTGATTGGTAAAAAATAAATTAAAAAAAAAGATAAAAGTTGATTTTTTTTTAAAAAAATAGAACCCACGGCCACCTTCCCCGGTAGACCCACCACCGAAACCAGACCACCTCCTCTACCCAGCCTAACCACCGTTGCGAATTGTACCAGCTTGGATTCGAACCGGTGTTCTTCATCAGACATAGCTAGTTGTTCTGCTTGTTGAAAAAGCAAAAATGGAGGAGAGAGAAAATGGAGAAAACCTAGCAAATGAAGAAAGAGGTGTGCGTCAAATGAAAGATAAGAGAGAGAGAGAGTGTTTATATAGGGATTCACATCAGTGTGCGATGATTTTGGCGAAGTGGCGATCAGGCGATGTAAGGGGAAGGAAGGGATTTCGGGACTGAAGAAGGAAGGGGTTGCTAACGGGTGGGCTGGTTTAGGGAGTTGGTTTCGGTGGTCGGTGGTTGCCTGTTGAGGGAGGGGTTGGCAGGGAAGGGGAAGGGGAATTGGTGGCTGGAATCGGGAAGGGGAAGGGAGACGGAGATCGTGGCCGGAATTGGGTAGGTTCCAGGGGTTGGGGCTGCCGAGATCTGTTTTTTTTTTATTTTATTATTATTATTTTTTAACCAATCATAGGCAGGCACGTGTCTTGTAACTTGTAATAACAAGTTAGATGACCGGTTGGGACCATTTAAAGTGGAAGAGCTATAAAAGTTGGATTATTAAAAAATAATCGAAAGGTGGGATTATTTTGGGCGGATGAGGCAAAGGTCGGATTATTTCGGGCAATTTTTCCTTTCTAAAATGCCTTAGATTTTTTTATTTTTTTTTAATTTTTTTTTTTGACTTCAAACAAGGTTTTATGAATTAAAATTGAACATGATAAAACTTACAAATTACAATAGCTACAAGCAAACTTAAAAGACCTTTTCATAAAGACTAACAAGCTAAACAATAATTATTCAAGCTAGGCACATTTACTTATTGAGATTCAAATTTATGTCCTACCATGTTTATTAACTTAACAAGCAAAGTTTGATTGGTGCTTGTTTAGGAGTAGTTCGTGAACATTTTAGCTCAATTGCACTTTTAGGCAGTGGTAGCAAATGAGGTATTCGAGATGCAAGGTTGAAATGTTGAATATCTGTTGGTTGCAAAGGTGCTTTTTCTTTAGGATGACAAAATTGTGATATTATTAAGGTCAAAGCTTGAGAGATCAGGAATAAATATCCAGAATTTTCCTTTTAGTTGCATTATACTATATTAATGATGGGGGGCTTGGTTGCTTGTCAGAATGAAAGGGCTCCTTTTTTTTTGTGATATACTGTTTCTAATGGTTTATGTTTTCTTTAGTATTTGTGGTCCTTGTCTGAGGGTTGAACATTTCAGATGGGATTGAAGAGCCAATGGTTGGTTTTATATCCCACTCTCTTTCTATAATTTGAAATGAAGTATAAACAAGAGTTTGTTGTTTAATTTGTTCTTTTACGGACAAATTGTTCTTGTACGGACTGATTGTTTTAGAAAAAAAATGTGAAAATTTAGGTAACAAAGGGCTAGCTCTGTAATTATGAATGGTTCCGATTTGCATGGTTGTTTTACATTTATAATCTTTCTTAGAGAATAAGGACTAAGCTCATGGATACCGCCTTTACATTTATCTATTTTGGTCATTAGCACCCACCTTTTCACCCCTTTTTATCAAGGTTTCCAGTTGAAGTTTAGAAGCCCTCTGCACAGTGGTCAGTTCTGCTTCCGCATGGCTAATCTGGAGTCTTGTTGAACAAGCTATATGACTTAAGAGTTACCTTACGTTGTTATGGAAGCAATTAATCTGTGTGTTATTGTAGATCTTGCACATATTTTATTGGTTTTAAAACATGATCTTGGTCCATTTCTTGTGGGTTTAATATTGCTACGTTGGTAGACTTTCCTTTATATTGTGAAGTAATAAACAGGCATTTTATGTTGAATAAAGGGAATTGGAATATCTTGGCCTTACCTTGGGTGGGAGTCTTTTTACTTTATTAGAGGCATTGAGATCTTAATGTTGTTTTGAGATGAGATAGATGGAGTAGTTGCTCATCAACTTTGGAACTCTTGAATCTCAGTATGAGGATGGAACTATTCTTCGTGTGAGATATCCAGTTATATAGTAATAAACAACTCAATCAAACATGAGTAACGAGAATACACTATTTTCATTTCTTTAGACGTGTAAACAACTACTTGCAATTTATGATTTGTGCCAAAAGAAGCAATGGGGGACTTGTTATGTCAGGCTTGACAGCATTGAAAATATGCAACTCTTTAGTTATTTGCAATTTCTTTAGTTTATATTTAGATCTAAAAGGAGAGTGTTTCAAAAACTTGATTAAGTGGATCTTGCCAATTGTTTTGACATGTATGTTATGGCTATTAAGTCTTGCATAGTTGCAATGTTTGCTTAGTCCAGGATGGGCAAGTTGCTACTAGGTTGTTTCCTTTTTGTTTCCATTTTTTAAAATTTATTTGACATGTATTTTAAGGATTGGATTATACTTGTGATGAGCGAAAAGTTACATTCTGAGATGATTGAGATGCTTAGCTAAATCATCAATATGTGATTGAGAAAGAACCTCTTTGCATCTGTTCTTAGTTGTTTAAAAACTTCCATACTTAATCAACTTTGTCTTTACAAGCCAGCCAACCCTTCTGCATATCAGTCAGAAAGTTCGTATTTAGTCCATGTCGTGTCAAATCCTCATGCTCTCTTACTGTTCTTATATTTTAGTTTATCAAACCTGCTCCCATTGCCCTTTTCTGTGTGGACAACCTGTTCTATGAAGTAAAATTCCCAAGAAACACCGAAAGGAAGCAAGGTAGGCTGCTCACCACCAATTTATTTCCCAAATAATTCTGTAATTCTTCTATTAATACAAAATCCAAAGGATGCCCAGGCACCTGAATTTCCAAATGAATTTCCTTATTCCCTCAAGAGCTAACTGCTAACATTGGTCAAAATACAAATAAGATAGCTATTAGTCTTATTATGCAAACTTTTGTTATAATTTTATAGTAGTTCTGCTAGAGTGGAATTTAGTTGCAACCAAAAGTCCATTTTAAGTGAATTCATTCCTCTTTCCTCCCCCCCTTTTTTTTTGTTTTGGAAGGAGAAAAGTGTGTGTGTGTGTGTGTAATAGGTCTTGCTTCCTTAAATTGAGTTTGCTGTCACTATGCTTTCGTGATTCCGTATGTACTTATGCAATATGTAGCATCAATAGCGCACTTTCTTTTCTCTTACTTTAGGAAAGTGTATTACTGGGGATTCTACTCTTAATAAAATAATAGAAACTTTAATTCGGGAACGGCGGAACAGCCCGCCGTCATATAGTTGGACCGTGTGTGTGCGCGTGTGTGCACGGGCGGGCGCACGCGTGTATGTACGTGTGCGGGTTAAAAAAAAATCATTTTCATAAAATGTTTCAAGATACCTGAAATTTATATGGGAAATGGAGGGGACAATAAGTAGTATCGTTAAGGGTATTTTGGACAAATCGGCAAATCATGACAAATCTTTTGTTGTGAGGATACAACTATACAAGCAATGTGTCTTTTATATAGAACAAAAGGTGTAAAGTTTTCTTCTACCTCTTAGAATGTTCCTTTCTTCAGTATGGCTTGGTTTTATTGCGTTTATCCTCTCATTATTAGTTTTAATAATTACTCACAAATTCTTGCTGTTGCACTGTGATACACTGCTACTACTGAAGTTTCTTTTGATGTGCATTTGCTTAGTTTCTCATTAAATTTATACTATCATCTTATTTTTGCCTCTTTGGCAAGATGTTCAGGCTACTCTTTAGTTCCTTGTTTCTAACGTAGTTTATATCATTGCTCTTGTTACTATTTCCTATTGTAGCTGCAAACTTGTTAATTTGCTTGATTCATTCATTGGGTTGTGGGATTGACTTTCTTTGAGAGTTGACACTCTTGAACTTGGATTCTAACAGCCTTAGCTAAAATTCAGCCATAATCATCAAGTTATTGTGTGATTGTGGATAATACCATTCAGCAAATTGCTATTTTATCATACATTGTGGAATGATCTTGTTATTAGGTACAATCTCCGCCCAGAATAAATAGCACATTGTTCTATCAGTTCTTGATTGTGGCAATAATACAACATTGCATCGTTTTCACTCTCTACATTTGCACAATCTTAGTAAGGGTATATAGTAAGGCCATTTACAAACTATTACTATATGCAGAAATGTAATGATATTTCCTAACTTGTATAGTATATGTAATAATGTAATTAAAATATTCTGACACGAGGGGTTTCTGAAGTGTGCTTCTGTTCTGTGTTTAGAACTGTTTGTTGTGAATAGGGTATCTACATTTTAACATTTGAATTGATTTGGATTGGTTTGACCCTTTTTTTTAGGTATCGGGCAATTACCAGTGCATACTACCGAGGAGCTGTTGGTGCACTTCTTGTGTACGATGTGACTAGGCATGCTACATTTGAGAGCGTGGAGAGGTGGTTAAAGGAGCTAAGGGATCACACAGATCCCAACATTGTAGTGATGCTTATTGGAAACAAATCAGACCTTCGTCACCTTGTTGCAGTACAAATGGAGGATGGGAAAACATTCGCTGAAAAGGAGTCCCTTTATTTCATGGAGACTTCTGCATTGGAAGCAACCAATGTAGAGAACGCCTTCACAGAAGTTCTTACTCAGATTTACCGAATTGTCAGCAAGAAGGCTATGGAGGCTGGTGAGGATGCAAATGGCTCATCTATCCCTGCTGGTGAGAAGATAGACATTGGCAAAGAAGTGTCTGCCGTGAAGAAGGGTGGTTGCTGCTCCAGTTAAGGGGCTTGCTTATTCATGTCTAGATTTCATTAGATTGGTTGAGGCGCAGATATGCAGCTGGGTTGTTGATGCTGCACAGTTTTTCTATACACCCTGATATGTATAATTTTCTGAGATGTTCCCATCTTTAGGAGTTAGAGTATTATTACTTTATTTCATTTTTCCTAAAAGAGTTCTCTTAGACATTATTTGTTTACTGAAATACTTGTGAATTGTGTTCAGCTGGTTGAATAGAAGGATCATTAGCCAAAATCTTCCAGTAAGCTGTGTAATATAGGAGCCAATTTACTTTCCTTTGCACATCTCGTCTATTGAGGTACATGTTTCTCACAGATGACCAGATGCTGATATTGTATTTGCTGTGTAAAATTTCTTCAATGCTTCAGGCTTCAGGTGGTGAATGGTCGATGATAGCAGCAGGGGCGGTGGATGAAGAGTGAGGCAGGGGAATATAGCCTATGCAGATATTTTTATTGACCCATTCCTCGATTTTTTGCAAACCCCGTAAATATATAATAAAAACTCTTATTGCTAGTAATTTTCAAATTTATTTCAAAACCATTTTAATTTATTGTTTAAAAAAAAAACAATTTTTATTTAAGTTTTTACAGAAATTATTAAAACTAATTTCATTAGAAATGAAATAATCAAAACATGTGACTGTCATTTAACATTAAATGTGACTGTCATTTACCTTGAGCCCTCTAATTTGATGGTGTTTAGTGTTTTGACAGATTTAGATATAGATCATTCCTTTTAGCATGGAGCATTGAAGGTTACCCATAAAGTTGTCTTTTAGGTTACAGTTTGATTAGGGTTTATGGGCTGATGGGCAATTGGGCATATGAAAGGCCTAACAATAACTCAATAAGGCTTTAAAGAAAGTTTATAATGTTCAAATATTTAGTGTTTTTGGTGCTCTCATAATAGGTGGATCACGCCTATAAAATGTACATTTTGTACAAAAATATGAAACGTCACAAAATATAACAACTAGGTTAGGTCCTATTTTTAGTATTTTTATCAATTCTTAAGTATGGTCTAATTAAAATATTTTATACTCCATATTTTACAAAATTGTTTTTGTTTTAAATGAGGTGAAGCAATTTAAAAGCTGATATGTTAGGTAGAAAGCACAATCTGTCAAACTGAAACTTGTGCAAACATATAAGCTAGTAAACCATCATACATCAAAGTAGGTGTCACATCTAATGATATTCAACTGCTAACCTAAGATTTTACATCACACTCAATTCCAATATCACAGCAACTCATTTATAAAGAGTAATATATTAAGGTCTTATAAAAGGGAACCCAAATATTAACACTTATCAGAGCCTAGACTCAAGTTTTACATACATGATATTAGCTGCTGCTGGGATGCTTGAATTGATAATGGTTGTTTCGCGACCTCCTAATTCCACGGCTGCCTATCACAATTCAGCTATACAGCTACTATTATTGAGATCCTCGATGTCAAGGAAGGAAAACTCTTGAGAATAACGTTATTAGAATGGTTTACATCTGAAAATCTATTCTAGACTTCACTGCTATTGATGTCATCTGCTGCACTCTGGATTCCTGAATCAGTAGGGGTAGGGGGTAGAGCGCAGTCAGTTAACCACTTTACTTTATGAAGGACTTACAAACTAAACTAAATTTCTTTCTTTTTTATCTTACCCCAAGCAGAGCAATGAGGTGAAACAGCCGTTTATATCTATCTACTGCGCAGTCAGTAGCACACCAAGATACAAGCAGAGAGGAGACACTACTAGTGACATGTATGTTGGGTCAGGATATTAACTGGTTGCAAATAACCTTTTCAACTGTGGAGGAGCATCAACTTTCAGACTCAGTTGGAGTGATAAAGCCAAGTCTAGGAAGCCGCGGAAAAATAAACATAAAAAACAGCGTGATTGAGAGAAACAGATTTCTGTCAGAAAATATTGGTGCAGTACGCAGGCTAACCTGTCAGGCGGTTAGACAGGTGACTGGCCTAATGAGAAAATTGGATTTCAGACAGTAAAACATCTAAGGATTTGGATTTCCTTAATCCACACAATTGTTGATCATTTCATATGCATTCAATTGTTGATTAAATAATAAAAAGATATCGATTCTACAAGTTAGACACAATATTTGAACAGTACAACCGCATCAGAGAATAAAATCAAACATTCTGTTCAAATAAAAATTTCTGAACAAATAATGCAGCAATATTTTAGAGTTTACAATTGATTTTCTTGGAAGATCTATGCTTCAATTCTGGTTTGACCCTTTGTTCATCCGTGAGAACTCACTCTTCGTCCACCCATTGTAGGCTTGTGCACAAAGGATCTAGGATTCTTCTTAGGTCGAAGGGATCTTGATCGGGTCATCTTGAACCTATATTTATGCCATTCTTTATAAGCACTTTGACTAAAATCAAAGCGTATCCTCCTATCATCAACATAATCTTGATTTATTTTCACTAGGACATCGAGACCTTCTGCAACATTCCCAAAAACAGTATGTTTGCCATCAAGGTAGCGAATGTCATCCCTTAAAGTTATATAGAATTGTGATGCATTGAGATTCTTGCCAGCGCTAGCCATTGCGACAGTACCCTTCTTGGAGTGTTTGAGATGAGAGTGTATCTCATCTTCAAAAAAACGAGCCTGTTGCACATTATGAAACAAACAGCCATTGTAATAATTAATCATGGCAAGTTTTAAGAAATTCTTGCAGGTCAAAGGGCAGTCATCGGTGAAAAGATCGATCACAACATCACCTAGACTCGTCACTAATAATACAGACATTGTATTTTTTTTTTTTTTGAGTAATGAATAAAATACCTCTTCCCTCTTCAATATTTATAGAATTATAGGCTAAATAAGATAAAACATACTACCAGATAAAACTTACCATATATTTATATATTTCGTATAACTTAGGAATTTCTATAAAAATATATATATATATATATATATATATATATATATATATATATATATATATATATATATATATACTACGTATATAACTTTCCTTCTTTAAAAATTAAACTTTCCTAAAAAATTTAGTGAGCTTTATATATATTTTGGGGATATCACCTATACACTCAAGAACAACAGCTCTAGAGCGTGCTTCCTTTGCTCGAATAACTCGATTGAGCTCATGTGGTGCAAGACTTTCATCTATAGGCACCCAATCATCTAGGCTCGACATTGTGTTTTTATTTTATTTTATTTTTTTAGGGTTCGTTTGGCATCGCTGTGGTTTTCTGTTTTTTGGTTTTTTGTTTTTTAAAAGTGTATTATATATGTCACATAATGACTCAAAAAATATATGGAGTTATTAAAATCATGATAATTTTGAAAACTGACAACAGAAAAGTGGAAATACCTTTTTCTTGTTTCCTGTTTTTGGTTTTTAGTTTTCGAAAAAACAGAAAACTGAAAACCAAAAATGATGCCAAACAAGCCCTTATTTCTTTATTTTTTTATTTTTATAAAAACTTTTGAGTAATGAATTAAATGCCTCTTCCCTCTTCAATATTTATAGAATTATAGGCTAAAAAAGATAAAAAATACTACTCCATACCAAATAAAACTTACCATATTTGCAAAAAAAATAAAATTAAATAAAATTCCATGTAATCATATACGGAGTATAACTTAGGATTCCTCCGTATAACTTTCCTAAAGTTACCCAATACCAAATTAATGACCAAACTTTCCTTTTTCCTTTTTTTTTTTTTTTTGAAACGGGATAATAAACATACATTAGAGAGCCATGATTTTATACTTATTTTTGAAGAATAAGAGAACCATGTTAACAGTCACGGAATATAATTTTTTGATAAATAATATTTCGTATGATAGACTTTCTTGGTTAGTGGGCTAAATAATTTGAGAGAGTGGGAAGGTAAGGAGATCTTATTATAAACACCCAAATATGTACCATACACCCATGGATATTTTAATCTCATTTTGATTATTGTTTTTTTAATTTAATCATCAAATGAAGAAAAAAACTTGGGTTAGTTGTGTATACGGTGCACCCGGGTGTATAAAACATATTCTAGAAGATAAGGGAATCTCATCCCTAAACTGTCACTAGTAGGGATTAAACCTCTAACTTATACGTTCTTCGTACTTTGAACATCCAACATCTTATAAAAAGGATGTTTATTTAATCATTTAAGTCAATCATCAATCATATAATAAATATGAAAATAAAGGTATATAATTGCAAATCTCAAAAACTAATTAAAAAAAAGAATAAAAGACAACATAAATATTAAGTACATATTCCTTAAAAAAAAAAATTATTATGTACATATAATCTCAAGGTGTAATTAAAAATAACAACCCAGTGCAATGTTTGGGCACATAATAGTTGAGAAATGAAAAAACACTTAGCTTTGAATTAGAAAAAAAAAAAAAATTGAATAATGACGAAGCATTAACAGTACAAGTGGCAAAATAAAAATAAAAAACCTCTTATTTGACATTTGTAACAATCTCTAATGGTATAATTTTTTTTAACCCTATCATATAAGTTAAGTGAAGGTAGGAGTTGACGACTTGATGTTCATCTAAAAAAAAAAAAAAAAAAAAGAGAGTACAATTTTATTTTATTTTATTTTTTTTTTGGAAAATTGCAAGAAACTCCCTTTTTATAACACTTTTTTTTTTTTTTTTTTGAAAAAACACCTTAAAACTTTTTTCTTGTGAAACACACCTAAAATCACTTTTTTTTTTCGAAGTAATATCTTAACCTGGTATCAGGTGTTTGACTTGATTTTCAGGCATTGATCCTCACGTGGTCCGGTCAAAACTCCTCTTTCTTAATCCCCCCCTTTCCCTCCAATTGAACTTTCTCTTTCCTCTGTTCTTCCAACCAAGCCTCAATTACTCTCAATTGAAGAAGGAAACTCCATTGTTGAGCTCAAATTGCTGCAATTAATCTAATTTCGAGGCTAGTTGTGTTAATTAATGAAATTGCTTATTAATTTAGTTGAGTTTTTAAAGTTTCATAAATTGGGGTTTGTAATTGGAAATTAGGGTTACTATTTTGGGACTGATTTTTGCCCACCAATGTGTTTAGGATGGAAATAACAGTAATTTCGAGGGGCCAATGTGTTTAGTATGCCCACCAATGTTCCTTTTTTTTTTTTTTTTTTGCTTGCTATATTGGGCTTCAATGGAGGAAGGGGGTGGGGTTTTTGGGTGGGTGGGGGTGAATTAACAAGGCTGGAATTTTCATGGGAGTAGATTTATTGGGTGAGATGGCGTTGGTGAGGGTGCCACTAGCCAGGTTACATGGACACTTCCTCATCCAAATGT